GTCCAGAATGTCGGCATTGATAGGACTTGGCTGCTTTCTAAGTTTCAGGATCTGCAGTAGCAAGTTTTTGGGGCTGTCGACTTCGCTTTAGGGTAGACCAAGATTTCGCCTATTCTAGGTATGCTGCAACCTTTAGCGCTTCTTTCTGTAAATCTTTGGATCGCTCGTCCCCGCAAATCTCTCTCCAGAAAGCAAGGTCTGCTCTTCTATTGTTTGCTCGAATATCTTCTCTCCCTCTTTTGGGCAGCTCATAAAAGTGGATCAATATTAGTCCTATCGTCCATCTAGCACCTGACAAGTGTCCTAAGAAAATCACGGGAAATATATCAAAGATTTTTTGAGTAAAAAAAGAGGATAAGAGCTCTATGTAAGGTGTGGCCTGGTTTATAGAGGAGCCTATAATGCTAAAAGGTTAAAGACTCAAGTAGCACAATAAACACACACACTTTTCCAATTGCCATATTTAGGCAAACGACTATAGTTTTGTTAGTTAGGGAAGGGGCTCAATGAGGGACAAAATGTTCCTCAAATTGCACGATCATATAAAGTCTTTTAAGGATTGATAATTTGTAACGGAAGTTGTAAGGAAAACTTGATATGGAATATACTAACCAAGGCATAGCGGTTCTTGGTCTATACAGCGAAAAGACCTACATAACTTAGTCATAGACCATAAAAGAATAACATCTATTAAAAAAAGACGGGTAATAGACACTTACTTGTGTCATAATGAAATGTCTTAGACTTGTGTTTTTGTTTTTTAAATAGTCCTCAGGTAAAGTAAGAACTCTACGTCCTACTATGGATAAAGGACCGGTGGAGCCGGCAGGGACCCCTGTGTTCTTGTCCACAGCCCACTCGTTTCAACCACATGAATCGCGATCAACATTGCAGCAGATTCAACAGAAACCAAAAACTACATAGTCAAAACAGCACCATGAATATAGAAGATTTCTCAATGTTGGACCCAAGCAATACGCTCCTCACATGTTTCCTTGCCCGTCATACCTCCCAAATGACAACTTTTCCCAATGTCCACGGAGGGCAAGAGATGAGTAGCGGGTACCATTAATTCGTCCAGTATCTTGCTATGGGTCGGTAAAACCTATAAAAGGGATCTTCGAGATCGCTGAGTCTTCAAACTTCTATTTCAGACTCTAGAACTCCAAAGCCCGATCCCTCAGCCATAGAGATATCATTGTTTGAGGATATCATCGTTTCTTCTGCCCTTTTGGCTGCATCTCTTTCTCGGACTGCTTCTTCAAACCTTCCGTGCTCGACTTAGTGAATCACATCGAAATGCTCTTTGCTCACCGGATCGAGCATGTTAGTTCTGGTTTGGTAGCAGCTTGAGGTAGCGACTCTTTAGTTGAAGCTGCTTTGGGTGCAGCTTTCTGAGTCGATTTTGACTCTATCTGAGGTCAATTGGCGTGTCCTCCAATCCCGTTGGGGATGGAGGCTGGCTAAGGAACTTCCTCAACAAACTCGACTGGCCCAATCATGTCAGTATCGTGCTGAGAGACGGATGAAAGGGATTTTACCCTCCCCTCACTTGAAGCCTGGCCCATCTCTACACATTTTGGAGACTGTGCATGGCCTGGCGTTTTTGCAAGAGCCCTCGGGCGGACTCTAGAGTTGTCCAAGACGGCGCTGGGAAGCTTTTTTCGAACAGGTGGCATGATAAAAATAACAGCCGTTCTGTCACAATTTCCTGATAAATACGACGAGCGCGATTGGGGGAATATTCGGATTTCAAAAAATTGGATGTTTTGTTTTTGTTTTTTATTTTAAAGTCCTAAGCTAAAGCTCTAGGTCCACTATCGGTACAAGACTGGTGGAGCCGGTGGGGTTCTCTGCGTACAGGCCCAACTCATTCCAACTGCGGGAACTTCAACAAAAGTAGATGAAGTTAACAACAAAACTTAAATCAAAACTAAAATCAAAGCGTAAATCAAAAAAAACCCCCGAAAAAATAATAAATAATAATTTAGAAGAATTTCATATGTGGTCTAGATCCCGCGCTTCTCACTCGTTTCCTTCCCTGTCACATCTTCCAAGTGACTTTTCCTAATCTCCGCTGAGAGCGAAAGATGAGCTCTCGGGTGACCTTTGCTGTCGGCCGGTTTCCTGCTTTTTGTTGTGAAAGTTGTCGTAGACTTCACCAAGGACTGCCCAGTCCTCAAACTTCTTCTTCGGTTTCCAGAATTCCGAAACCCGATCCCTCCGCCATTGAGACGTCCTTCGCAGAGGCGTTCCTCGCCTCTTCGTCCTTTTTGTAAGCAGCTTTGACACGGGCAAAGTCTGCATATCTTTCTTGCTCGAATTTGCGAATTGCCGCGAGCTGTTCCTTGGTCACCGGTCCATCTTTTCTGGGTCTGGCTTAGCAGTGCCGAGAGTCCGATCGGTGAGGTCCCCCACAATTGCGACATCGTGTGAGGGCCTTGCACTCCACTTCCGAGTGCATGTTTGAGCCGCAGTTCCAGCAAGCTGGAGCGCGGGAGCATCCGCGGCTGGCGTGATAGCCAAGACAACGTTTGCACTGTTCGAGTTGTTGACGAGGTCGGAAGAGCTTCGCAGCTCCAGAATCGTCGAAGAGGCGGAATCGAGGTCTGGGCGTGGACTCGCGAGGAAAGAGGGCTTGCCAGTTCTCGTATGGCGCCCCAGGCTTGCAGTAGCCGTGCGGACGGACAAGAAACGGAACCGATTTCGTCACTCGCGTGACTTCGTCAGCAACCATCTTTGCCGTGATCTCGATGGGACCTACAAGTGTGTTTACTGTCACCGGTACGGTGGAAATTTGCAAGGCAACCAGATTTGACGCTGGTTCCAGTTTGATTCCATATTCGCTCCGTGACATGGAGGAATCTAGGAGCTCTTTCCGAGCGAGTTCATTCTTTGCTGTCAGTGCCAAGCCTGTTTTGACCCGCTGAACCAACGTGATGTCGTCGGCAGCGGTACCGAGCACCTGTGACACAGCTAATCTTACGCCAGCTGGTGACAGGAGTCGGTGGGGGTGGTTAACTTTGAGGCGTAGAAAAAGTCTCTCGTCGACTTTTGTCCTCGGACTGGCACTTTTTGCTTTTGGGGCGGGCGGTGCTGCCTTTGTAGTCGACGACCCGGCGCTGCGGCCTAGACCTGCACGGGCTACTGTGACCCAAGTCGTCTTTGGTGCCGGAGCCTGGGTTGTAGAAGGGTTAGGTACCCTAATTTCATGAGCCCTCGGCGGAGGAAGGTTGATGGGGCGCGTAGGGAGAGCTGGTGGAGTGCTCCCTGGGCCTGATTGTATGAGCTGGCCAATGGCCGCTCAAAGGTATACTTTGATGCCGTCTACAAACTCTTTTTCGTCGCCAATCGAGAGAGGCGAAAGTGCTGCTTCAACACTGCTTACTGCAGTGGAACTAATTGATAAACGGGCCTTGATTTGCGTCGTGCGACGCTTCTCGGCCTCCATCACTGATTGCAGCTCCGGGGGATATTCCGGTGCTGATGTCGAAGCTGCGCCTTTTGAGGCTGGCACAGCATTTTTTCCGGCTGGCAATTCTGCACGTTCGGTCGTCTTTTCTCTGACGACCTTCTTTCCTTTCCTGAAACTGCTTGCCTCGGGGGCCAGCTCGGCGGGTTTCGCGGTCTGTTGACCATTTGTTTCTGTTCTGATCGGGTCAGAATCAGTCATCTCTTGATCGGGAAGTGTGGAGGACTTCCCAGGGATAAAGGCCTCACTCGCAAGCATGCTTGATATTTTTTGCGCGAGGCCAGATATTTTTGCGGGAGCCCTCGGGCGGACTCTCGCGTTGTCCAACATTGAGTTGGGGAGCTTTTTTCGAACAGATGGCATGATGAAAATGCCAGTGACTCAATTACAATTTATTGAAGGAATGCGACGAGCGCGAGAGGGAGGGAGAGGGGGAAAAGGTGGATATTCGAAAATTCGAATTTCAAAGAATTGGATGTGTATTTGGGTTTGTTGAATTATTTGAATTTATCCCTCTCTAGCACATTGGGCTTCTCTCTGACCTAGGCAACACTTTGCACAGAGTTCCTATTCTCATTTGTTACTTCAAAGTTCATTCACATATTGCCCGTGATAGATATCTATTCAGGTAAGTATCAACCCGCGGAATTCAGCCATCTTTTCCTCGAAACTTTCTACCAAAGAAAATAAAACAGATGGCTATCAAAACTGGGTGCGCGGGAAAACTCCTAATAAAACCTGCCGCTCCAGCCGGAGAGGCCTAGACATCGGGACCACATGAGGAGCGCATATTCATCTGGATCTCCCTTCTTTATAAAATTAGACTCCATCCTCATCCAATCCACCATCTCTGTATCGGGTGCTGGGTACGCTCCGGAAACGCCTCGAATGGCTTCTCCTCCTTGATCAAGGGTTGGTGATGAGATGTGCTTCGACCCTACCATCTGATATAATTGGGGTTAGCCTCATGATAATGGTAATAGGGGCTGTGCTGAGACATGAAAAAGATACGGACCGCAAAAGCGATCGGGAATCATCGACGAAGTAAGGGCGGTGTTACTCAATCTCGGCCCTGCAAACTCTGCAGGGAGAGCTGGAGATTTGTAGGGGACACCACAGACAGGTGCTTAGTTTCATTTCCCTCTTAGACTCGTTGCCAGCTTTGAGTTGAGAAATCGGAAGGCTTTGCGCTTAAAATTAACCAGATTTCACAGTATCTTGTATCTACTTCTGCTTTCCATCACAAAATCGATCGGTGGGCGCCTAACCTGCCCCGTCTTACTCCCCTTGCTTAGTTTGGCTATTCCACCCAAAGTCAACCGGTAAATTAAGACTTCCCAAACAACCTCACAATCTTTCAGGCTCTCTATCGTCCCTCAAATCCCTTTTACATTACCCACGAGAAAAGTCATTGCTCAAACACCCGTCAGAGCGCTCCTCGTCGATCGGCGTCTCCGCTTTCAGACTTCATCAGATGTAGAGTGCCATTTATTGCAAACTTTACAACACCCAAACCAAAGTACTTGCCATGAACAAAAGACGGCTTGGATCTAGCAGTTCGAGACCCTATGCAGTGGAAGCTGATAATGGTGCGCTGTCCACAGAGCAACACGCGTCCGCTTCAATCTCGTCAGGTGACGAGAAAGGCGGCGAAGTGTCTACAGCCGAGGACGACGATGATGATGAGTTCTATGCGCTTCAAGAGAGCTTAGAAGAGTTAAGTGATGACTCACTTTTTCAAGATGGTGAGTCCATGATGTAAACCCTTATAGGTGCAGTGAAAGGCTAAAGTAGAGCCAGTGGCGCCTGATGCATGCTCGCTCGAGCAGGCCGTTGCCTTTCGACAACGCCTGCGTATTATCGGCCCAGCTAAATTTTGCGAAGAGACAGTCGAAGCTGGCACTATTAGCGCTAGAAAACTTCTCTCTGCTTTTGGCATTCGTCCACCTGATTGTATGGATGGCTTACCCGATGATGCTTTTTATGGGCTCTTAAGCCTAGCAATCAGCCGAGAGCTATCAAAGAGAATTAAATTACCACAATACAATACAGTTGATGATGCTGTCAATCTCATCATAAATGCCCAGAATATAATTGTCCTCACAGGCGCAGGAATCTCGACCTCTTTAGGTATCCCGGATTTCAGATCTAAAGATATCGGTCTTTACTCAAAGCTAGAACATCTTGGCTTAAAGGATCCCCAAGAGGTCTTCGATATCAATGTGTTTCGAGAAGACCCGAGTATTTTCTATTCAATAGCGGGTGACATACTCCCAGCCACTGATCGCTTTACACCGACTCATGCCTTTATTCATCTTTTGCAAGAAAAGGGTAAACTTCTCACTAACTACTCTCAGAACATCGATAATATTGAATCTATTGCCGGAATACGGCCTGATAAACTCATCCAATGTCACGGATCTTTTGCGACTGCTTCCTGCGTCAAATGCAAGTATCAAGTTCCCGGTGAGGCAATCTTCGACGACATTAAAGCAGGTCGCATTCCTCGTTGTGAAAATTGTACGGATAAGATTCACTCTCTCAAAGTATCTAGTTCCATGAAGCGTAAGCGCTCCGGCACCGGCCAAGATAAGAAACGTAAAAATAATGGATACGGGGATGATGATACAAGCTCTGGTGAAGATTATGAGGTTCCAGAGGCAGGTGTAATGAAGCCAGACATCACTTTCTTTGGTGAACCATTACCTGATAGATTTTCTGATCGATTGACAAACCATGACAAAAATCTAGTCGATTTAGTCATAGTTATTGGCACCTCTCTCAAAGTTGCGCCTGTCTCGGAAGTTGTCCCCTATCTTCCGGCTCGGATCCCGCAAATGTACATATCACGAACGCCCGTCTCTCATGTGAATTTTGACATGGACTTACTTGGAGACTGTGATGTAGTCGTGACTGAGCTTTGCAGACGTGCTGGGTGGGACCTGAGACACGAAATGGTATCCGCGGATCAAAAAATTGAAGTTAACCTTCAGCCGGGGTTTTCCAGCCGTCACGTATTCACAGCAAAAGCGTGACGCCTATATGATGGCCGAGAAAGCTCTTGGGGTCGCAAAATTTGGCGATTATCTCGATAGAACTTGGCCGGTTAGGCAATGATGACGTTTTCAATGTGCTGAAATGTAGGGTTTGCAGCGGGAGAAAATTCGTAACTTAGGGATAGGCGTCATTGGTGCAAAAATATTCCAGTCTATCATCGGCTATCAAGTATTCACCCTCTACATACACTTTATACTCATTGTGTGCGTAAAATACTGGTATTTCCTCACTTCTATTTCAGTACGGCTAATAATTTCAAATGGCTTTCAATGGTTGATTGAGTACTGAATCTAGTCACCAAAGTGCCTTGATTCGCCACGCAAGAGTAGGTCTTTAATCAGCATGAAGCAATTCAAATGACATCCGGGAATTAATAGGCCAATATCTATCAACCCTAGTCAATATCAGACTAGGGTTGAGAGGCAAGGAGGGTGTTAAGCGCTCGCTCGGGTATCTTGAAAACTCTCAAACGTCTGTGCGTAGACGTTGCACCGATCAATAGTCTTGTTTTTAGTTAAATCTCTTGACATAATTGTAGATCACTAGTTGGCGGGAAGGTTACAGCGGTATTCGGAAAATCAAAGCAAAAAATTACGACGTGTACACGAACGCGTGGAACAGGTAGGGCCAATTTGAAAGAAATAGATTGAGGGACGGACAGGCGCTAGAGTACGAAAGGACGGAAAGAAGTATATGCAATGGAACCTAGTCCATGTAATCCCATTTTGTCCGAGCCCGGGTCCACAAGTTTGTGTCAGTTTGAAAGGTGGTGTCAGAGTGGCTAAAGGGTGCCTGGGGCGCATGATGCCGATCTAGCCGCGGACGTAGGTAGGGTTTTGGAAAACAAAAACAATGAATGATTATCTGCCCAATGCTCGGTGGGTCCGGTTATCCCAAATTTCTAACAATGAAGATCGGCAAAGGCCCATTTAAACACACGGAGTGACGTGACACTTTGTTTTAAATCGGCTAAGATTCGAATGGAATTATGTAGCTAGGCAGAGGATGCAGGAGATCTTTTGTATCGCAGCTAAGGGTATGTGAATTTAAATCCGATAAAGCGCCTTGAATTCATAATTTATCAGTGTTTTATTGGACGCCCCTGCTAATTCTCGGATTGTGAGAGACAACGTCATCAGCGGAAGACCAACTGTAAGCTTTTGGGAACCCGTTCCTCGAGATGACAACGTGAATTGGCTCTCGTAGCATTTCACGTATCAATTGTTTCTTGCTTTGTAAATGTTGGCGTAACAAATTAGATGTACCCCCTTCTCGAGCAATGCGCATATTTCCTTCCGTTGACTGTAAATGTACTGCTCTCTGAGTTTTTGCCCTGTGCTGGAATGCAAATAATTTGCCATCTATCGAGTTCCATTGGGTAGGTCATGAAGACATGCCAATCCATTTCTCAGCCAACTGGTATGAAGGTATATTTACGTTGAGGGCTACTCCATGTGGCAGGTTACATTTATTTTTGGCGTATTCTATTTTAGACGTTAAGATTTGCATCCTACTTTCCACATTGTGTTACTTCCACTGAGCAATTAGAAAAGCCTTGGCCTTCAACCGTATGCTTGCTCCATCCAATTCACTAACTATCGTCACGTGATTGACCAAACGTAACTGGTAACGCCTTGGCGATATTTCAACTCGCGTCAGGTAGATGAATAAGCTTCCCCAGGTTCTCCAGGAATTTGGGTCAGCTAAACTACCATCATATTGAGAAGATAGTCTACGGAGCTGGCTTGCCTTCAATCTTGAGATAGCCAGCAGCTGTGATTTTTTCAGGCTCCATAAACATCATATTTCATGTTTTTGGTCCTCTGCTCTCTTACAATTCACCACTCAGCCAGAAACGACAAACAGACGCTATCGCGGCAAGAAACTTTCACCTGTTCTCTCGCTGCCCCCCCGTCATAACTAGGTGTCCACGTCATCAGTCCCTGATCCCTTGCTGCTTGTTACTCTCGCTTAACTATCTTTGATCCAGAATCATACCGCGGGCATCTCCCCCTTGCCTCGGAAAACGATTGACCCAACACTTGAACTTACCTTAATGTTGTTGCAATCAGGTATTCCACTTCCTTCAATGTCCGACACAACAGCCATTTGTCGGCTTGAAAATTGATCTATCAAAACCCCTCTAATAATTACACCAAATCCTTTATACCAGAATTCCGGAACCAATCCGAATATAATCTGAACCGAATTTTCAGACCCGCCTCTATCCACGACTACAAAGGCTTCGAAGACATCGAAACAGTTACCTCAGAGTGGGTCTTAACAAATAGTGGTGCTAGTTCTATTTAAGGCAAATAATATATCGTCATTCAAACAATCGTTCAAATAATCATTCAAATAATCATCGTCAACAAGTAAACAAAAATTTCGTATACCGAGGAAATATCGTTTTGTACCCTATCCTGACAAAGATCCCGCTGCTTTGGCTGATGACTTGATATCAGCGGACCTCAAACCCGCGAAATCTGTCTAGGTCACGCGCCTTAGTCTAATTGATAGTAACGTGCTTATATCACTGTTGACTCGGCGCCACTACCTAGTCACAATGGTGGACTCAAATCACACATCTTCATTGAATGGACGAAGGCAAAGAGCGCAAGTTTACAAAATTCACTAGGTAATATCAATCGCTGACCAGTTTAGACCCACAATAACTATTGATACCTCTGCTGTCAATAACTCGTCTCTTACAGCCCTGTCGGAGAATGAGGCCCTAACCATCAATAATTCATCTCAAACGCAAACATCTTCTATAAATAATGTCTCCAATTTTGAAACCGACAGACCAGATTCATCTCCAAATAATCCACTGCCACTGGCAAGCTTGACAAACTGCTCATCAGGAACCGAATCGAGAGCGAACAACTTATCAAGTAGTCGGGGACGAGAAAGTGTACCTGCATCGCCGAATATTCATATATCACCAAACGCTTCAAGAGGAGAAAAACTTTCTGGCTTTCTTGCTGTTCCAGGATCTAGGTCTCGGCAAAACTCTATTGAATCAGAAGATAACAATCAGTCGTCTACCAACTATAGTGGAGACACCGTCACCAATGTACTAGTAGAGTCTCGAGATAATGGACAGACCCTTACAAACGAAGAGATAATGAAAGACCCTGAGGCCCTTTCCCCTGATCCCGGAACAGAAGAAGATTTCACTGTCGATGAAAATCCGTTTGCCTTTTCCCAAGGACAGTTGAATAAGATAATAAATCCAAAGAGCCTGTCAGCATTTTATGCACTAGGTGGTCTGGCTGGACTAGAAAAAGGTTTACGGTCTGATCGAAAAGCCGGTCTCAGTATCGATGAAACAACTCTCTCAGGAACGGTATCACGCGAAGAAGCTCTATCTTCAGCTGTCATGAAAACATCATATGATCATACAACTGAACCTAAACTACCCCTAGGTCCATTGGGATCTGCAGGCTCCAGTCACTGTAACAAAGATTCATCGAGACCCCTAGAGAAACAATTTAGCGATAGAAAGCGGGTATTCAAAGACAATAGATTACCTGTAAAACAGGGAAAGACTTTGCTTCAGCTTATGTGGATTACTTTCAACGATACTGTGTTGATTCTTCTATCAGTTGCTGCGGCCATTTCTCTCGGAGTAGGACTTTACCAAACATTTGGTACTAAACATAATGCCGAAAATCCCCCTATTGAATGGGTGGAAGGAGTTGCTATAATCGTTGCAATTTTAATTGTGGTCGTAGTGGGCTCTTTGAACGACTGGCAAAAAGAACGTCAATTCGTCAAACTCAATTGTAAGAAGCAAGATCGTGATGTTATCGTAATCCGCTCGGGTAAAACAATGGAAGTATCTGTGTTCGATATCTTAGTAGGAGATGTGATGCAACTAGAATCTGGAGATATGATTCCCGTGGATGGAGTCTACATTGACGGGCACAATATCGTTTGTGATGAATCTCAAACGACTGGAGAGTCTGACTTGATTCGCAAGCATCCTGCTGATCAGGTCTATATGTCTATTGAAAAAGATTTCAGTTTACGGAAACTGGATCCCTTCATATTATCGGGTGCAACAGTTGTTGAGGGCGTTGGAACATTCATGGTCACTGCGACTGGTGTTAATTCTAGCTATGGTAAAACCCTAATGTCACTCCGAGAAGATCCAGAAGTCACCCCCCTGCAGTCAAAGCTGAATACTCTTGCTGAATATATTGCTAAACTTGGTGGAGGTGCTGGCCTATTGTTATTTATTGTTTTATTCATCAAGTTTTCAATTAATCTTCCAAAAAATGACGCCACTGCTACGGAGAAAGGTCAGCAATTCCTGCAGATTTTTATTGTCACAGTCACTATCATTGTCGTTGCTGTGCCAGAAGGTCTCCCTCTAGCTGTAACTCTGGCTCTAGCTTTTGCAACTACTCGAATGTTGAAAGATAACAACCTTGTTCGTCACTTAAAGGCCTGTGAGGTCATGGGTAATGCGACTGCCATATGTTCCGATAAGACTGGCACTTTAACGCAAAATAAAATGCTCGTGATTGCTGGGGCCCTCGGTGTTAACTTACAGTTCGGTGACCTTGTGAAGCCATCCAATGATGGAAAACAACCTGAGGACGATGCTACTACATTAGGATCCTTCAGAAAATCTTCTCCACATGAAGTTATATCTTCCCTTGATCCAACTGTAAAGAGAATGTTGATACACTCAATGGTCGTTAACTCAACAGCTTTTGAGAGCGAACTTGATGGAAGTAAAACGTTTGTTGGTTCCAAGACAGAAACCGCATTACTTCAGTTCGCAAATGACTATATGAGTATAGCTCCCATTGATCAGGAACGTTCAAATACCGATATCATTCAAATATACCCATTTGATTCAAGTAGGAAGTGTATGGGTGTTGTCGTGCGACTAGATGATGGCAAATACCGATTATACGTCAAGGGCGCATCTGAAATCCTACTACAGAAATGCACTTCTATCATTCGGGATCCAACTGATAAGCTAAATAGTAACCTCTTGACTGACGGTAATCGTTCAATCTTACTCAATATAATCGACCAATATGCGACTCGCTCATTACGAACAATTGCCATGGTATATCGGGACTTCAACAAATGGCCAATCAATGAAGCCCGCACTGGTAGAAGTGACCAGAGTGATGTCAAATTTTCGGAAATATTTAAGCAAATGGTTTTTCTTGGTGTCGTTGGGATTCAAGATCCAATCCGTGATGGTGTCGCGCTAGCTGTCAAAAAATGCCAGAATGCCGGTGTCTTTGTCCGTATGGTTACTGGAGACAATGTCAAGACAGCTAAGGCAATTGCTACTGAATGTGGTATATTTACAGAAGGTGGTGTTGCAATGGAGGGTCCTGATTTCCGAAAATTATCTAAAACCAGCATGGATCAAATTATTCCACGATTACAAGTTCTTGCTAGATCTAGCCCAGAGGATAAACGTATTCTTGTTAAACGTCTGAAGGATCTTGGTGAAACTGTAGCAGTTACCGGTGATGGTACAAACGATGCACCAGCTCTTAAAACGGCCGACGTTGGGTTTTCAATGGGTATTTCGGGTACTGAGGTTGCTCGTGAAGCTTCTGCAATTATTCTGATGGACGATAACTTTGCGTCTATAGTAAAAGCTATGATGTGGGGACGTGCAGTCAACGATGCAGTAAAAAAATTTCTTCAATTTCAAGTGACTGTCAATATCACTGCTGTTCTACTAACTTTTATCACAGCTGTTGGAAGTAATGAGGAAAAATCTGTTCTTACAGCGGTTCAACTGTTATGGGTCAACCTTATTATGGATACTATGGCAGCTTTAGCTCTGGCAACTGACCCACCCACGGAAACTATTCTCGATCGGAAGAGTGAACCCAAGTCTGCCTCTCTCATCACCATCGCTATGTGGAAAATGATTATTGGGGAATCTTTATACCAGTTGATTATAACCTTGCTTTTGTACTATGGGGCTGCTTCGATTTTCTCTTATTCCTCGCCACGTGAATTAGGGCAGGTTTCAACCCTTGTATTTAATACATTTGTATGGATGCAGATTTTCAATCAATGGAAGTAAGTTGACTCTTATCAATTCGAGAAAAGCCTAGCTAAATTGATTCTAGTAATCGTCGCCTTGACAACAAATTCAACATTTTCGAGGGGATCACTTCTAATTACTTTTTCCTAGTGATCAATATAATTATGATTGCAGGACAAGTGATGATAATTTTTGTTGGCGGGAAAGCCTTCAACGTTGTTCGTCTAAGCAAGGCCCAATGGGCATACTCCCTAGTTCTCGGGTTCCTTTCTATTCCGATTGGTGCAGTTATACGACTCATTCCAGACGAGTTGGTTGGTCAGCTCAATCCTTCAAATCTTAAATCTCGACCAAAAGGACCAGAACTTACTATTTCAGACGAAGAGGAACATTTCCGCTTCCCTAGACCTCTAACTGACGTTAGAGAGGAACTTAGTTTCCTCAAAAAAGTTAAGGGTGGTAGGTTAAATAATCTCAAGTTTGCCATTCAAGACAAGCGCGATCAATGGCTGCCACGTTCCAGAAGTGGATCTCGGTCTCGTAGCAACTCGACGACCCCTACACCATGCACAGATTCTCAACGAGAGGACAGCTCTATCATTCCACATCCAAGCCCTGAAATCCGCAAACGGGCTCGCTCAAACCGCTCCCGTTCCAACTCTGCACTTGGAGCTACTACAGTCATGGCTGGCATTATTGCTGGCTCTGTTGGAGGCTGGTCACCGATCGATAGGTCTATTAGTGATAATGAATCAGTGCGATTGGCACGAAAGCCAGACTTAGCATTAAATGAAGAAATCGAACATCCTTCCATAACAAAACCAGACCACTCTACGACTGAAGGTCAACACTTGGACACTTCGGGTAAGATTGGCGGGGAAACATCATAGGCCGCAAACTTTCCTGCCTACATCGTTACTGGGATATTATCACCCAAAAAGACTAACATTGAATCTTAGACAACCGATTGCTCTTAGGAAGATGGACTCAAGGACTTTCAATTTTCCGTTTGTAAATTATTTTCTTTGTGTCTGGTATCCTGAGGTTTAAATCAAAGATAAGTGCCGCAAGCCGGCAAAGCGTTTTGGCTACTTCCGTCCCCTCTTTTAAAAGTCAATTTACTTATTTTGTTCTTGATTCGTATTGTTGAGTTAGGCCATGGGTGGGTATTAAACATTGTTAAAAATTAATTATTTGCCGTCGTTGGGGCTTCAAAAAACTCAGGGTTGCGCTAAATAAAAGTAAATAGCTCTCTACTAGGTCCCAAAATCTCAGTGACTAATCTTTGTATTCATAATGCCTGTTTCTTTTCTTGTCAGTTATTTTTGTACAACTCTTGCTAGCCTGAGGCCTGAAAATATTATGTAGCCACCACGCCCGTTGCAATTAATGTGGGACTACGTACGTCTGATGAGGGACCCTATCGTTTACATTGGCGGTCTCTATTGTCCGAATTTTGAAAACTTGCAACCTATGGCTGCATTTAGTAGTGTAGTGCAGAAGCATGAAGTTTATATTAAGTGTTCTAACTATGTATATATACTTGTGTTACGTAATAGTTAGTCACGTGGAATATGTTACATATCCATTACACCCCCCCAGAAACTGAATGCTTTAGATCTAAATTAATTTGATTACAGAATGATGAATGTTTTAGACGTTGCAATGATTTTGTCAAGCCATCTGCTTTGCAAATGTCTGTAGGAGTATATTTTAATTTTATCAACCCATTTTGAATCGAATCTCTAACTGTTGATTGTCGCATTAGAAAATGTCGATTCCTTGCAGATATTTTATTGGAGTTAGCGGTAATCATTGCGGCAGTGTTATCAATTTCTGTTGTAATGGGTGAAATTTTTATTTCAAATAGTTCTTCATACAAAGGCTTAATCCACTGCGCAGCAACAGATAGGGTTGTGAGAGCGGTATATTCTGCTTCACAAGTACTTTGGGCAGTGACAGATTGTTTCTTAGACCACCATGCAATCGGAGTGCCATTAATAAAGAAGAATATCCCCGAGGTTCCTTTTGGAGAAGTGGAATTTCCCCAACTGCTATCTGATGATGCTGTGAGTTCATGTTTGTTACATTTGGGGAAGAATAGAGTAGCATCTTTTGTTCGAGAGACATATCGAATGAGATGTTTTAGTAATAGAAAGGCATTTTGCGAGGGATTTCGTACATAGCGACAAAGCTTATTGACTGCGTATTGGATATCAGGTCTTGTTGTATTTGCGATGTGTAAAAGCGTCCCGACAGCTGAACGATATAATACTGATTCAGGATTTGAACATAAATTATCTGTATCACGATCAATTAGATTTTCGTCAGAAATTGGAGTGTTAGCTCCTCTACAGTGAGCCATTCCCATATCGCTACAAAGAGCTTCGATTCTATCTTGTTGATTGATACGAATACCATCCGGCTCATTCTTTACATTAATACCGAGAAAGTTTGTCATATGACCTAGATCTTTAAGTTTAAAAAAATTAGCCAATGCAATGACTGTTTTATCGATTTGAGCAAGGGATGTAGATAGTATCATAAAATCATCAACATAGGTTGAGATTATTTTTTTCCCTCGACGAAATACATTTGTATCATTTTTAAGTGGTTTGAATTCTAGGTCACTTAAAACTTGTCGAAGTTTTAATTGCCATCGTTTTGGTGCTGTTCGTAAGCCATAAATAGCCTTTTTAAGCTTGCAAACTAAGTCTCCTGGTTGTTCTCGATTGTGAGGCTGTTCAATAAAAATAGGCTGATCAATTGGTGTGTGGAGAAATGCTGCTGTAATGTCGACATGACGGATGATGAGCTTGTAAGTTGCTGCATAAGCTAGAAGCATCCGCAATGTAGTTGGAGGAAGGACTTCGGCATAGGTATCGTCAGCAAATGGTTCTGAAAAACCACGAGCGCACCATCTTGCTTTTAATTTTCCGTCTGGTTTTTCTTTCAATATCCATTTCCCAGTCATTATTTTACCTTTTGCTTCAGATTTAGGTACAAGCGCCCAAACCTCGTTTTGTGCCATATTTTTGATCTCATCATCCATGGCTTTATCCCATTGATGACCTTTATTTCCTGTTAGTAATTTGTTAATGATTTGACAATCTGTATTATGTATTGCTAGAATATTTGATTTTAAAGGAAAAGAATTCTCATGGAAACGAACGTCACGTCGTACTATTGTTCGATGAGTTTCTGTGTTTAAAATAATATGACCTCCTGTAAATTCAGTACCGACATAAATTCCTTCCCTTGCCTTGGATTTAAGTTTATTTTGATCAGGGTCAAGCCAGAATGCTCGACAACCGAATGGATGAAGATGTTGGATGACGGGCAATTTGTTATAAACAGCGTGATACGGTGATTTAGGTGCAATTCTGTTGGGAGTTATATTGAGAGAGTCAATTGAAGCTGTCAGCATTAGAGGCCATAGTTTTAATGGTAATCCAGATTGCAGATGAAGTGTTCGCATTTTCTCGGTAACTGTTCTGACATTTCTTTCGACAATACCATTTTGCTCTGGAGCATGTGAGGAAGATTTCTTCCATTCTATTCCACGGGAAAGAAGTATTTCTTGAAGATTAGAATTTGAGAATTCTGTACCACTATCAGTATGAATAACTTTAGGTGTTATTTGAAATTTAGTCTTTAAATTCTCGAGCAAATATCGAATTTGAGTAGGGACAGTTTTCTTAGAGTAAATCGGCCAAGCCCATTTCCAAGATGTGAACTCGTCGACTGCAAACAAAAACCATGTTGCATTTGGGATAGATTTATCAATGGTTGTTGGGAAAAGAGACTTTTGGCCACCAACTAGATCCATGTGTATAATCTCACCAAATGATGTTGCATTTCGAAGACTACCATGACCTTTGCATTTCGTAATTTTAGCTTTAACACATGTTTCGCAATCAGGATGGGTCTTGAAATTCTTTATTCCTGCATCTTTTAACATGATATTTTGGGCATGTTGTCCTGGATGACCAAGGATAGTATGCCAGTCACGAGTAACTGAATACACTGACGATCTTCCAGTACTAGATTTAATGGGCCTGTACAATAATCTGCCAGATATGCGCTGAAATATTGCACATACAGAGCCATTGGGACGGATAAGCTCGATATCACCGTAGTTTGACGGCCAACGAATGGAGAAGCCTTGTTTTTCCAATTGTGCAGTGGAGAGAATACACTGATTCTGGCCTGGGATATGGATAGCTCCATGAAGTTCATCTTTTTGTTCATTAATAGATAGAAAATTTAGATTGCCATGACCGACAGCTCTAACTTGATCACCACCTGCGACTTGAACATTTATGGGAGAAGTAGAATAAGAAGAGAAGTCATCTTTATTTCCAGAAACATGATAGTCTGATCCAGTATCCAACTGGTATGAATAATTACATGATGTGTTTGCGACAGAAAGGACTTTATTATTTCCATTTTTATTACGATCTTTAGACGCATTCTTTTTCTTCCTACACTCGTCTTCAATGTGTCCAACATTACCACAGAAATTACACTTTCCTGTTTTATTTTTAAGTGATTTTGGTTTGTTACTAGACTTGTATTGATAACATTCAGCAAGAAGCTCTTCAAACGAACAGTTTCGACATCGAATTGCAAGGTTAGAGTCCAATTTTTGTATACTACTTAATAGTAAGTACTTCATTTGACGTTTCAATTCCGGAGTAATCGTGTTATTTTGCTTGAACTCATTTAGACGTATTTCATATTCTACAAAAAACTTCGATAGCGACATGTTGTTGCTGGGCTGAAAAGTCCAAAATCTATTAATGATTTCAATTAAGTTTGAGCGCATCGCCGCCTGTGTTTGACTGACGATGGTGGTTAAAACAAAGAGAGGAGTTTCATTGTCATTTATCTTGATGTGTGAAGCTGATTCTTTTAATTTAGCAGCCCACCACGCAGACCATATTATGACAGCCTTAGTAGATGGTGTAACAGGAAGGAAAACGCAGGCTGTTTCTGTGACAGAAATTAGCCGTTTTATTGATTCAAAGTAGGAGTTCCAGTTCGATGATGTTAGTTTCGGAATAGTACATATTTTCTCAATGTTACCGAGTCGTTCTGTCAGTGTCCAAACTTCTGTTTTTCTTTGGGCTTCCTTTAAGGAAGTTTTGACATCGTCTGATGTAGCAAATATGATGTTATTTATTTGCACATAATCAGGCACAATAGTGTCATTAGATGTAGGCTTTGCCTCGATAGAGGGCTTTAGTAATTCTGACATTTCGAGTGCGTGAGTTGCTGCGCGTACGTGAGAAAGGTAGGGCAAAGATGGAAGCACAAGAGAAAAATGTCTTGAATTAGAGTGACGTAGTGCAGCGGAAGTTATATAGGGCCATAACCTGTAGTGCAGAAGCATGAAGTTTATATTAAGTGTTCTAACTATGTATATATACTTGTGTTACGTAATAGTTAGTCACGTGGAATATGTTACATATCCATTACAAGTAGCTATGAACATCAGTAGACGAAAATTTATGCCAAGTCCGCAGGGACACTTATGAAGAATCACAAGGGCTAGAGAATAGATAAAAAGTATGGACAAAACCCCTATTCTAACGGTAGACGGAACATGAAATTTTCAGACATCAGAACAAAATTCGACGCGTATAGTAGCCTCTAAGCCGTCTATACAATTACCGATTTGCCTTGTACTATTTCTAACCTCAACTTCTCTTTGAACCCATCGCCCGGGTGCCTTTGCAGATATAAATTCACCCTGGACTTCATTCGTGTACCCTGAATCAGTCTCTTCAAGGGCAGTATCATAATCTGCAACGGGATCCCACTCACCCGTTTCCCAGACCATTCGCAGTGTAGTTAGGGGAACCCCGATCATCTTCCCAATTAGTCCTTTAACGCGATAGACATCAATAGATTTTGGGATCTCTTGCTTCCATATCATTTCTCTGCTTATGCCCTCGTAAGACGCAGACCGATAAAATGTAAATTTTATAAGGCGGCTATCTAGTAAAGATTGACTCGATCGATTCATTGCAGGCTCCCCCCATTTGATACAGAGATCTCTAAAGCGTGCATGTCGCGCCAGGATAGCATTTTTTTCATGTTCTGGTGCCGCGATTACCTCCTCAGCTATTTTTGAAAGATAGTAAATTTCAGCATTAGCCCGCTCAGTCGCATTGATTTTACTGTAATTCAAAGTCGTTAGGCTTTCAAGGCGTCCTATTATGATCATATAGGCATCGTCATTCTTGGCGCATGTTGGGTCTTTTGATAGGTTGTGAATGGGATTAAACATTGTCCGTAAGTTAGTGAGGCCAGGGAACACTAATGGTAGTGTATCGATAAAGCCCCAAGAGTCAATACAATTATGTGAAAGGTCTACATGGCACAATCTCACACCAAATTGGACCAAAGCTGTGGAGGTTTGGCTTTCGTTGACTTTTGAAATCTGATTGCCTTTGAGAAGAAGTACCTGGAGAGATTCTAGTTGTGACAGCGGATGAATATCATGAAGGCTTTTGAATTTGTTATATTGCAAGTTGAGAGAGATAAGATTTCTAGCATCCAATGTTGCTGGTATATCTCTGAAGTGATTCGAGGAGACTGTTAGAATTGTTAGACGGTGAAAATAACTCCCGAGGATAACAATTGATTCCCATGGTAGGAGAGTCTGGTCTAGCTCTAATTCTTGGATCGTAGAAAACCCAAGAGTGCCATCACCCGAAGCCATATCAGAATCTGAGGGGATATTGTCGAAGAAACGGTTGCCACTGCACACATCAGTACATGCGAGAGATAACCTGCCGCACCTACTTGAGCCGGAGCATTTTGAGATTGGGAAGCTGACGACATATGTAAGAAACTTCCTTGAAGTCACGGATTAGGTTTCTACTCAAGTCGAGGTCAGATATCTTAGAGCAGGTGTCTTCAATCCTTTCACCGTTTTTTTCTCCAACAGAAATACACATGCCAGATACCACGACGACCCTCAGATTATGAAGTTGTGCCTGTATCTGTCGGATTTTATCGAACCCTACTTCTTCGACGACCTTACCGGATATTGTAAGTTTGTTTGCTCCAGGCACCTGTTGTAGTTGTGATGCTTCCTTAGGGGCATACTTTTCTCGAACCGCCTCAATGAAGCTTCGCTCAGATTCAACAGGTCTCGATGGACGAATGAAACTTGCTGCGGGCAAATCACACAGGCCTACGGGTTGATTAAGAAAAGCTCTTGTGATAATTTGATTACTCACATCTAAAATATCTCTTCCCGTTAAGAGACCCATCATGCTTACCCCTGCTATCATCATCCCACTCAACGCCTAACCATAGGCCCTTGAAGCCGTCTACTTCTCCTATATAACGAACCGTACAGAGATTATCCGAAGAAGTTGCTGAGATGACTGAAAGCCTGTCACCAATTCGGTATTGTCGCGCCATCAATAAAGTATGTAGAAATCTGAATTCTCCAGACCTAAACACAGATCGCTTTAGAAGCGAGATGCGAGCATGTCGGACACTAAATAGAAAATATCTCCTCTGCAATAGCCGCGACTCTCTACCATTTTTCTGTTGCATCATTAAATGTAATCAGCTATCTAGCTATGACACATGACCGGTGCTAAAATTCCTGAATACTCGTGAGAGAATCTATTAGATACCCCATTACTGTTCCCCTCCGGAGGACGAAGGCTGAACGGCTGTCAGTGATGTCCTCTACGAACCTGGGAGTGAAATATTCTCCCATATCCGAGATTCAGTCACGACGAAGGGTGAATTTGAGAGTTTTCGTCGAGTTGGCGATCGGGAGGAGTGGCGTTGGTTCATTTTTGGTCGAAAATCCGACTTGCAGAGATTTCACGACTGCACAACTCAACGAAATCAACCATCTACACACCAGATACGATCCGCAGACAGGCTATAACCTGTCTGATGTTCGTATCAAAACAACCGACACCTTCAAGATCTTATTTTCTTTTTCTCTGGAAGCTCATTCCCAGCCAAACTCGTCTCGCGGCCCTCTCCATAATCATCTCACCATCTACCTATGCAATCTCTTACCTTCAAAACTCAAATCACCAACTAAGAAGCAAGAGGATTTCCGACCCTCCGCAACTGCCAGTCGCTGTGAAGGTACGATCGAAATACTGGCCTTAAATGCGTCCTCACCTCGGCCAAGGGCACCAACAACTCGACCTGCGACGAATCGCCACCGCCGAAATAAGTACGATATTTCGCCGGCACAGCAACCAGAGCGTTAGACAAAGGCTGGGGCACCGGTGCCTTGGTCTTGAGCTCTCAGTCGCGTTTTCGACCTCCACGGTTAGGGGTACGGCAGCGACGGGGCAATGCCAGAGGGGTGGACATTCTATAAAGTTTCTGTGATGATAAGATCGGCTGAAGGACAGAGGGATGCTGTATGAAGGAACCAAAAGGGAATACAAACTGAGGAGGCCTTGGTGAGCGACTGGATGAGGCCTCCAGTGAAGGAACGACCCCTGGATAAGATGAGGAGATGCTGAGATGAGCCAAAGCTTGGAATGATTCGAAGGGAAAAGTTACAGATGGCGAAGGTATCAAGGGCTTGGGCGCGTGGTGGCCGAGGCTGAGGAGGAAATTGAGCTTCGGCGCGCCAAAAGGGGGTTCTCTGGACGGTTGAGCTTGACATGATTCAATACATGGGTGAAGTCTCAGGTAGTCCGGTCATTTAGGTGGGACGAGGCACTTGTACTTTATGGTAGTTAACCTGATCCAGCCCGGCCCCACCCGTGCTTAAGCTCCAGTAGGAGAGCAGCGGTAGTCACTATACCTAGCACGTAAATGAACAAAACAAAACAAATAAAACAGTTCCCCTCCGACTCACATACATTAACAACAATCCGAATTCTCACAGTAACAAGACCCCGGATCTCCAACGTGTCTCCGGGGCCTGCCAAATCATCGCAACCTGTTCACCTTCAAAGAACCATTGATAGAGCGAATACTAGGCTTAAAAAGTGCTTAGTAAAAAAGAACATACCATTGAGCTGGACGTGACCGAAAGGAGAAAAGCTTTCGAAGACGATTCTAACTCTACAAACCCCGATGTTTAAATGGGTGATGCGGTAATAGACTGATATATTATGTGGGGGCTTGAGAGCTCACGAAGGGATATCAATCAACCCAAAGATGGTCAGGTGTCAGAGGCCCCCGTTATTACAGTCACGAGGAAGATTGCTGTGCCGGCCATAAAGCGGACAGCTAATGCTAACTTGAAAAAAAGCCGACGAATTCGAGTTAACCACAACCCCTCAGAATACCATTCCGGGGGCAAGTTGAAACAATCAATCTTCTTGCAGCGATAGTAGCTTCAAGAACACTGTGACTTGTCCTCCCGAGCTTCGAGCCATACTTGAAACCGGAGAACAACGGGCGGCCCAGACCTCATTTAACCCTACAATATGCACCGCTGCCATCAACGGTGTGGAGAATGCACTCGCACCTCTATCCAAAGGGTCGAGTGTTCAATTTATAGACTCCATGAAAGTCTACCTTCGAGCTGCAGTAGCTCAGTTCATGCTATCGGGACCAGGAACAGTCCTTCCCAACCTCCCCCCACGACCAAGCTGCCAGAATCATGGGGGAAAGATCGTGGAAAAAACGATACAAAATCTGCCAGAACAGCTACAAAAGGAGAACCAGGCGAGGATAACCTCAGTCAAGCCTACCTGGGCAACAGTTACCCGAACTGGCCTCCATACGCCGGCAGCACCTGTGAAAGATGTGCGGGTCCATAACGAACCCTCGGTGCGACAATCGTAGCCCGTAGATATCTAAGCGCTCGTCTCTTCCCAATGATGCACTCTAATTTGGCTAAACTCGGCATATAGTTATTCCGGGATTCTGAACTCATTATAATTTCTATGTAGCAACGAGAATCTTCTCTCTTTAGATTAAATATAACTTATAATTCACCACAAGTAGTACTCTTCCTCTGACACTTGGCACCAACGAGGCCTCCAGCAAAGGCTTCGAAAACTGCCCAAAAGATGATCGTTAGTTTCTTCGACTCGGAAAAGAACATGCTTGGCGTACTCTATCGCCGGCCGGTGTGCGAGATGCGGCAGCAAAAGTGCTCGAGCTTCCCCCGCAGGATATTGAGCATGTATACCGTCTTCCGACTGGCTTCGCACTTCGAGCCAAAAATCAGGAGATATGACAGCTCCTTCTAGACTCTGCTGAATCTTTCGTCCAGGTAGACGCAATCCTGGAGAAGGCCTCTGTAAGGATTCTGGAGAAATTCCTCAGGCAGGATTTATGGATTCTTTTTTTTTTTTTTAAATCATTTAAGTATATTCAGCTATGGAGCTATGACACATGACCGGTGCTATGTATACATGTGGGATGACTTTTTTGACGTTAGAGACACTCATACTCTGGATTTCATTCGCAAATACCACCATGAAGTATGCTTGCTTACACAAACAGTCGACCCTCCTCCGTAAGTACCCACCAAAGGGTATTTCGAAACCTTTGGTTATCCAAGCATGCCTTCGTCATCCATGCATACCAGCGCCGCGATAAATGTGGTTGTGTTTGCCGGATTTGAACCAGCGATCTGCTGTCTCAAGTGGGATATGTGTCCAAGCTATCCAGACTCTACTTGGCAGACCGGCCAAGACGATGTACCACCGCACCATCCAACCATGGCAGTTTTTACAGTGTCGCCTGCACTCTCGCAGCCGAAGACTTGGCACGCACAAAGCTCAATTTGTAAAAACTCCTTTCCAAAATTCAAAATTCCACGCCCGTCGAGACTGTATCCAATCCTCTGCATCATCTTATTAACTTGTCCTGATCCCTCTCACATCCATCCCAAGGAATTGTCCTCCAGATTTGTGTTCCACGCTTTGTTTCCTCCGTCGGGTGTAAATATCGGCGTAGGCGTGTATTTGGTGACCAGCTGAGGCCAGAGAAAGTCGATGAGAGGTATGGTCATTGGAGTGGGGACGGGGATGTACTAAGTCGTACTTGTAGATTTGATGAGGCTTAGGTAGGAATCGATTTCGTTGGGAGTGAAAGATTGATATGGTGGAGTATTTTGAATCATTGCCTCGTAGGCCAACTTGTTCGGTATTGCGAAGTTTGACTGAACTTGGCTCTGGGAGAATATTTCACTCCCAGGTTAGTAGAGGACACCACGTACAGGTGTTCAGTCTTGCCCTTCATGTTGGAGTTCATACTAGTGTGCGGAAAACCCCGCTTTCATGTATATAGAGGGACTTCTCGCCACACATGTAGAATTATAGCAAATTCTTTGCAATTAACTATCCATTAAACATCAGTAAACATCTTCGTATAGTAAACACATTTATCGTATCTCTTAATCAAACTCGAGGCTAGTGTATAATTCTTCCAATTTCCGGAACAAATTTCAATTCTTCCCCTGTGCTTCGCTGACGGCCGACTATTGCTGGGTGCTTGTTAATGGAGTCACCTTCCTCAACGTGTACAAGGTACCAAGATACATGTCAGCCATACAACCACTTGTCAACTGGAACCCGCCGCCGAACTCGGTCGCTGCGGGTGATTTCAACTCTGTATAGTGCGCCTGGCAACCCGGAGTCACTTGCCCCTACGGGCAAGCTGAAATGATTGAAAGATGGGCAGAAGATCACAATCTAAGGAGCCTTATTGTCGGAGAGCCCACGCATCAAGCTGGAAATATCTTGGACCTAGTCTGAACCAACATCAACGGCAGCCGTGCATGGGTAAACCTCAATGAATATGTCACCAGCGAACACCTTCCTATCCGAGGAATAATCCCAATCCAGTCCTCAGTATTGAGACCCAACTTGGGCAAGATTCGAGTGACGAAGGAAAGACTACCTGACTTTGCACGAGCTGTTACTAAGTTGGTCCGTCTACCACCAGTTTTAGATACAATTGAAAAGGTCAAAGACTATGCCCAAGAACTTTGCTTAAAGCTTAAGACTGCCATAAATGCAACAGGAAGTCGACCCAGAGCAAACGGCGGTAAATCAGCCCCGTGGTGGACTCCGGCGTGCAAGGAAGCACGGGCTGAATATTGAGCGGCCGAATTACCCCTCCAACGTGCTATGTACGCCAAAAAGCTCCGATCAGTCATTAGAGCTGCCAAAAAGAACATCAAGCACAGTAGGTGGGAAAAATTAACACACCGAGCGATGTCTATAAGGTAATGAGAATGGCTGGTCCTAGACAGACAAACATCCCCCCACCCCTCAATCACAACGGAGTTCTTATCTCTGATCCGCTAGAGCGAGCCACAGTTCTCCGTGACTCTCTCCTGGCAAGACACCAGTTTTCAGACGACCTACCGCCTTGCACTGCCACGAGCAACAACCGGATACCATAGAAGAAAGACATCTCTGAGGAAGAAGTCCGAGTATGTACCACCGGCTGTAGAAATACGGCTCCGG